ACGAAAAACACACGAATCAGCCATGCACTGCTCGAACCCCAAAGCCAAATAGCACTTCANCGTCCCCACTGCAAAAATATCGTCTACGTGTACTACGAGAAGCAACACTATTTCCCCCCCTTCGACTTTACGAAAAACACACGAATCAGCCATGCACTGCTCGAACCCCAAAGCCAAATAGCACTTCATCAGTAACGCGTACCACTCTCTAGATGCCTGCCTCAAGCCATAAAGGCTCTTGTTCAACTGCACTATCTTCCCCGACAACGCACCACATCCTTCCGGCAGTCGATCGAAAATATCTTCCTTGAGAGGGGCCCTCACAAAAGCCTGGTCGATATCGAAGTGACACAACTCCAAGTCAAGCTCACACGCCAAAGCTGCCAACATACGAACACTAGATGAAGCTACAGTAGGTGCATACAAATCACCAAAGTCAATGTACTCCTTCTGCATGTCTCCTCTCGCAACAAGTCTAGCCTTGGCCTTCGTAGGAAAGCCGAACGCATCTACCTTCCAATAAATAATCAACTTCGACTTGATGCAATTGTCTATTCGCTGCTACGGTCCAACAATCTTAAACGCGTCTGCTTCTAGCAATCCAAACACCTCACGCTTGGCCGCATCCATGAACTGCTCGCTGTGCTCGCTCTGCTTTGCCTCTTTGAAAGTCTGGGGTAATCGGAGGTCCTTGGCGTGGCAGCGCGGCATGTCGGGTCGCAAAAGAGGCTGCTCCATCTCGCGCACAGCTGAGTCGAGGTCATCGCGGGTTNGACGGACCGATCGACCAACCATTCCCCATGCGTCCCTCCTCGCCGGTGTCCACCTCCGGCAGCTTTCCCGTGCTCTCTACCAAGCCCTCACTCCTCGCGAGCTGCTCGCCTCCGCCCCCCTTCTCGCCGCCCCCCTCCAATCCTGGCCGGAGCATCGTCTTACCGTTCATGACTCGCCGAGCATCCAGCATGGAGAGGAGGACATCTTCGTTTGCTTGAGCCAGCAGCCCCATGGTGATCTCGGTCGGAGGCCGAGGCGTGGTGACGGCATCGTCCTGCAGTGATGGCAACTGCCGGTCCGCCGATAGGGCAGAAAGATGTTGCTGGGCGATGGTGCGCGCTTCCGCTCTCGTGCGTCCTCGGATCCGCGGATCTCCCCCCTCGCCGAGCTGTATCGAAGCATGGGGCGTGAGAGGTGCGTACCCTGGTGCGGTCGCCGACTGTGTGGTCCGCCNTCGCGAGCTGCTCGCCTCCGCCCCCCTTCTCGCCGCCCCCCTCCAATCCTGGCCGGAGCATCGTCTTACCGTTCATGACTCGCCGAGCATCCAGCATGGAGAGGAGGACATCTTCGTTTGCTTGAGCCAGCAGCCCCATGGTGATCTCGGTCGGAGGCAGAGGCGTGGTGACGGCATCGTCCTGCAGTGATGGCAACTGCCGGTCCACCGATAGGGCAGAAAGCTGTTGCTGGGCGATGGTGCGCGCTTCCGCTCTCGTGCGTCCTCGGATCCGCGGATCTCCCCCCTCGCCGAGCTGTATCGAAGCATGGGGCGTGAGAGGTGCGTACCCCGGTGCGGTCGCCGACTGTGTGGTCCGCCCGTCTTGGTGCGGTTGCGGCGGGGACTGCTTAGCCTAATTGGATGAGGACGACCAGTCCAGAAGCGGCGGCGAGGGCGACAGCGGCGCAGACCCCGGAGGCGGCGGCGACGGCGACGGTCCGGCGGCGGCAACAGCAGTGGGCGGCGGTGGAACGGCGGATGTCGATGACGTGGGCGGCCTCGGGAGCGGCGGAGCGGCAGCACCAGGCGAAGGCGCGGGCCACAACGCGGGCCCCGAAGGTGGCGGCGGCAGCGACGGTCCGGCGGCGGCAACAGCAGTGGGCGGCGGTGGAACGGCGGATGTCGATGACGTGGGCGGCCTCGGGAGCGGCGGAGCGGCAGCACCAGGCGAAGGCGCGGGCCACAACGCGGGCCCCGAAGGTGGCGGCGGCAGCGACGGTCCGGCGGCAGCAGCAGCAGGCGGCGGCGAAGCGGCGATCTCGAAGGGTAGATGCTGGGGCGTGGGTAGAGGCCCCGCGGAGGGGGTTGGTGAAGCATTGCACCCCCCACCGCCCCCCCGGGTATTTGCCATCGGGGTTGGGTTTTCGTCGCCTGGCAACGACGTTGTATCCCCCCGACGGCGGGAGCGCCGCCCACGCTACATTCGAGGTGTAGCACACGTGGCCGGTCCTCTCCTTGAGCACCTTAACGGTGACGTCGGCGTGGTTGTCCCCGGCGTTGCGGAAAAAACACGGCACGGCCCTGCCGTCCATTTTCGTTGCCGGCCGCTCCCACATGAAACCGTACTGGAAGAACGGGATCAAGCGAAAAGGGCCTCCCTTGCCGGTGTAGAGTTCCTGCGGCGACGCACCCCCGGGGTTGGAAGGAGATGCTGACTGGTTCAGTTNGAGGAAAAAACACGGCACGGCCCTGTCGTCCATTTTCGTTGCCGGCCGCTCCCACATGAAACCGTACTGGAAGAACGGGATCAAGCGAAAAGGGCCTCCCTTGCCGGTGTAGAGTTCCTGCGGCGACGCACCCCCGGGGTTGGAAGGAGATGCTGACTGGTTCAGCTGCTGCGCGGTGTCTTTTGCGGACTCCGCCCAGAGCTCATCGCCACGAACACTCAGCCCGCGGACACGAGAAAATCCTGCGGGGCCAAGCAGCTCCTGGGCGGCCCGGCGGGATGCCTTGGCCACCTTGAGGCACCTCTGGATGGCGCTCTCGACGACGCCGTTGTACTGCTGCACGCCGGGAGGGGAGTACTCGAGCGCGATCCCCATGCTGGCACAGAACGCCTTGAAGTCGCTGCTGGTCCAGAGGGCATCGCAGTCGCAGTGGATGCACTTTATCGCGGTACCAGCCTTGTGGGCGGCATCCACGACCATGCGCTTGCCGACCGCTAGCGCCTCCGACTTACGCCGCATGGCGTAGCAGACCATCCATCCCGTGGCGGCGTCCACACCGAAGTGCATAGAGTGGTTGCCACCGATCGTCGCCGTGTACGCGCCGCAGAGGTCGATGTGGAACACGTCGTTCGGCGCCCTCTTGCCGCGGTACCCGCCCCCCTGCTTCGGCACCGGCTCCCTCGTCCCACGCGCCGGCACGCACCATCGACAGCTGTCCATCGTGCCCGTGAGGGTAATCCCGTGCTGCTTTGCGGACAGCCTCAAAATGGGTTCGGACAAGTGGCCGGCACGGTTGTGGAACGTGTTAATATCCATAACCTTTTGTGCATTGCCGACATCGAAAGGTGTCTTCCCCGGGCCCAACACAGCCATAGCGCGTTCACACTCTTCACTTTCCCACACATCAATCATCGTCGCCGAGTATTCCGCTACAGCATCCGTCAAACGAAGGGGTTCTAGATCGGAATCCATCGCGGCTGTAAGAGCCGATGTCACAAATGAAAAAGAACTCTCACGGGCACTCTCATTCGCAACGTCCATAGAAGGCAGGGATTTGTGGGGAAGGTGGGTTGCAAAAAGGAAATCGCTGGAACCGCCACGAATAATACGCAGTTTCCGTGCATCATTTACGTACCGTTAGGGTTGGTACGGACCTCATGCTTGTGAGACACCTTCCATACCGAGAAAAGGTTGAAACCACACCCGGGTACAAACAAAACTTCTGGCACAGTGCCGTCCAAATCCTCCTGTTTCCCGTCGGCTCCGACTTGGTGGAACCTAAGGTCCAAACTTCCTACAGCGGCAACCTTGATGAGAGCCGAGTCTCCAATCCGAATAAATCGTTCATCCGGGCCCGAGTGGCGTACATTGTACATTGCATCAACTTTGTTCGAAATCATTGCACTAGCTCCAGAATCGGCTTGCCATTGTTCACTACCAATCGGATTCGGCATGGAGGGTTGGCACAAGAAAGCTTTTTCAACCGTGGGACGGCGGGTGAGACGGGCTACGACTACCTTTCCAGGCACACTTGGTACAGCAGGGACAGATGCATCACACTCCGACACGCCAACCACTTTATCAGGACTCTCAAGTACAGCGGGCACGCGGGGTACATCATGAGTAGACAAACCAAACTTCGAGACACCGAACTCATCATCAGAACGTTCATGCACAGCAGGCACGCGGGGAACACCAGGAATTGACACATCAGACTCAGCACTTGTGAACACGTCAGACATCGAAAAACCAACATCCTTCTCAAAGTCAATCTCAGACTTGCCTCGAGGGCACACGCCACGTGCTATGAAGAGACGCAGAGGGGAATCGCCGGCTGGAGGTAGAGCGTCGCCTGGAGCTGGAGAGGGAGAGGAGGAGGAAGAAGTCGCCTTGGGTGCACCGTAGTGCTGCTGCTGCTGATGCTGCTGCGAGGTGTCGAAGCCCTCGTAGGCTCGCGGTTGTTGGGCGTCCGGTCCGGCAGCAGAACNGCTGGAGGTAGAGCGTCGCCTGGAGCTGGAGAGGGAGAGGAGGAGGAAGAAGTCGCCTTGGGTGCACCGTAGTGCTGCTGCTGCTGATGCTGCTGCGAGGTGTCGAAGCCCTCGTAGGCTCGCGGTTGTTGGGCGTCCGGTCCGGCAGCAGAACGATAGTGTGGTACGTTGCTCACTTCTTGCTGCTGGTAGAGCCCTCCGCCGTCGGGCAATTGGTGGAAACCGTATCCCCCGCCGGCGGCGCTGCCGTAGGGACCTCGGCCATGGTCCACTCCGTGAGCCGCGAGCCCGTAGCCGTAGCCTGCCTCAGGAGGTGGCGGGGTCCAGCTGGGTGTAGATCCGGGCGCCGACGTGGCCTCCCATCCCGAGATGTTGTCGCCGCCTGATGGTTCTCCACCTCCGATGGCGAAATGAGCCGAAAAATAGGACCGCGGTACGTTAGCAATCTGCGCGGGAGGAACGTTGGGCGGCGGAAAATTACCACCACGGCCGCCCACCTGACGACCTCGGCTCTCCGGGGGGGAAGGGCCGTATCCACCATACCCACGCCCCCCAGAGTTGCGCCCCTGCAGTTGTCCTCCAGCTCGGGATCCTGGCCCACACGGCGGTCCCGGCAGCGCTGGAGAGTGGCCGCAACTCCAGCCCGCACCTTGTTCGTTTTGGTACGGCTGCTGTCAAGATGGGCCACCAATCATCCGCCCCGAGTCTTGAGCTCCGCCTCGAAGGAAGGNCGCCGGCGGCGCTGCCGTAGGGACCTCGGCCATGGTCCACTCCGTGAGCCGCGAGCCCGTAGCCGTAGCCTGCCTCAGGAGGTGGCNGCGGCGGATAATTACCACCACGGCCGCCCACCTGACGACCTCGGCTCTCCGGGGGGGAAGGGCCGTATCCACCATACCCACGCCCCCCAGAGTTGCGCCCCTGCAGTTGTCCTCCAGCTCGGGATCCTGGCCCACACGGCGGTCCCGGCAGCGCTGGAGAGTGGCCGCAACTCCAGCCCGCACCTTGTTCGTTTTGGTACGGCTGCTGTCAAGATGGGCCACCAATCATCCGCCCCGAGTCTTGAGCTCCGCCTCGAAGGAAGGTCGACCCCTGGGCCTCCCGCCTCCCGCTCATGTACGCGCAGAACTCGTTGTAGTGGACGAGGAATTCGTGGCGTAACTTGTGACATTCGGAGGTCTCGTGGGTGCTGTTGGGGCCGTGGAGCTGGCAGAAGAGCGATGGCTGTTGCTGTGGCTGCACCGACCCCTGTGGTTGCTGGAGTCGATANACGCGCAGAACTCGTTGTAGTGGGCGAGGAATTCGTTGCGCAACTTGTGACATTCGGAGGTCTCGTGGGTGCTGTTGGGGCCGTGGAGCTGACAGAAGTGCGATGGCTGCTGCTGATTTTGTTGATGTAGCGGTAACGACCCCTGTGGCTGCTGAGGTCGATGTCCGCCTTGCTCCAATCCTGCAGCGACTGGTTTCCCCGCCCCGCCGCCCCGGCCCACGCCGGCAGCGACGAGGGCGTGCCTCATCTCTTCCTTCCCCTCTCCAGCTCTCCGCTCGTACCTCAGCTCGTGCTCTTCCAACCTCAGCATCTCCTGCATTGTAGCCCTCGAGAACACATCGAATCAAACAGAAGGCGGTCTTGAGTTTTCTCAAACCTTGGGAGAAATCCCCGGACTATGTGCCTGCACATCGACTTTTCATCCCTGTTATCACCATACGATCGAAGTCTCAACCAAAGCGCAACTGCCACACCGTAATAGTCCATAAGACTCTCTCCTTGCCTCTGGTCTATTACGTTCCATGCGTCGTCAAGAGTTTGTCGCTCCTGACTCTTATCCTGGCTGTATTGTTCGAGAAACACGCGGTACCCTGCTGGAGGCGATTCTGATGCCAAGATTTGGGCTTGTACGGGTTGTGCTGTGATCTTGGCTAGCATAAACGTCCAAGTCTTCCTGGATTGCTTCACTTTTACTTTCTCCTCTCCGAACGTGCTGCTCAACCAGTTCAAATGCACACCAGCTGCACCAACAGGGACCTCTGAACTCCTCATCACACCAGCAAGTCCCTCACTCTCCAGCCACGCTTCAAAAGCACTCGTGAACACTCGCAATGCAACTTCGATCGATCTGTTCTTCAGATAGTCATCACTCCATGCTGGTACATCTATCTTTTCTCTCTGCCTCAGTTCTAAAATCTGGTTGCTAGACGTGCCTGAGTGGGCACGGTGCCCCTGGTCATGAGTTGATGTCGCGAAGGCCTGCTTGAAGAGGTCAACCAGCTCACGCATCGTGTCGCGCTGATCTTTCCCTCCTGCCGCTCGCGCACCCCCTCGGTCTCGTGCATCGTTGACGAAGAAAGAATCGCTCCCTCCTCCGGCCGCGAAGCCTTCCCCGGGGGGAGGGACAGCCTGACCTGATCCCCCCGGAGGTTGTCGTTCCGTCTCCGTCCGGCATGTTGGGCGCTTAGACACGGCGGCCACTCACTTGATCGTTAGGGATAGGGCTAGCGTCAAAGATCAAANCTGCCGCTCGCGCACCCCCTCGGTCTCGTGCATCGTTGACGAAGAAAGAATCGCTCCCTCCTCCGGCCGCGAANGCTTCAACACATCAGAGCCATCACGCTCCGGAACATCACAGATGCGGCGGGTTACCACATCCGCGGGCAGTTTACTGTATTTTATCGTTGCCGGCAAACTCGCCGCGCGGTTCTTTTATTTTTGCCGTCTACAACTGCGCCGGGCGCACCAAGCTACTCAACACGCTAGCGTAATAGATCAAGAGAGTTGCTGCTGTGTCTGCGCGAACAAGACGGCTGGAGGAGATGGACGAAGACCTCCGGGGGAACCAGGGACTAGTTCCTCTCCCCACGGGGAAGACAACGGGGGGAAAGGATGAGAATCGTTGAACCTCCCCGACGTGGACCAGGGAGAACCGAGAGCAGCCCCGGATGGAGGGGAACAAGATCCAACTATCGCCCTCGTCGGCCTCCTCCGTCGGGTTGCCACATCCGCCTCCCAGACTCCGGGACATGACGTTCGCTCAGGCACGTCTAGTTCCCAACCCACAGAGTTGAAGCTGAGAGAGAGAGTCGAAGTACCTAAGTGGAATGAGGCTTTCTTGAAGGATCGGAGTGTGACTGTCGCGTTCCGAATTTTCACGAGTTGCNCAACGGGGGGAAAGGATGAGAATCGTTGAACCTCCCCGACGTGGACCAGGGAGAACCGAGAGCAGCCCCGGATGGAGGGGAACAAGATCCAACTATCGCCCTCGTCGGCCTCCTCCGTCGGGTTGCCACATCCGCCTCCCAGACTCCGGGACATGACGTTCGCTCAGGCACGTCTAGTTCCCAACCCACAGAGTTGAAGCTGAGAGAGAGAGTCGAAGTACCTAAGTGGAATGAGGCTTTCTTGAAGGATCGGAGTGTGACTGTCGCGTTCCGAATTTTCACGAGTTGTTTCTCAGGGTGGATGGATGCAGAAGGTCTTGAAGAGATCATGAAAGGAGAAGAGATTCCTGTGGGTTCGTTGCACGTCGATAAGGCTTGGTTGCGGCAGAGGTATGGCGATGAAAGTGTTCGAAAGGCCAGGAGAGTCTGGATATGCTTGATCACGAAAATCAACGTTCAACCTATACTAGACCAGATACTAGCTTCAGAGAGTCCACAAGCAGGGTGGATGGCGTTTCAGTCCTACTACGCTAGAAGTAGGACGCATGAGAGAGAAATCCTGGACGACACTTGGAACTGCCTAAGGCAGAAGCATAGAGAGACTCTGGTCGACTACTGGGGAAGGGCGAATACTGTGTGGATGCAATTATAGTCTTGTGGGGACAATCGAGAGGAGACGTTAATGTCGAGACGCATTGCGCGTGGCTTGCTCCCAATGTACGACGATGTCAAAGACCGTATTCTGTTCCACCCCATGCTTTCGAGAGGTACTCTGGAAGAGACGCTGAGGCTGGCCGAGCACGAGCAGAGGATCAATCGGAGGTCTGGAGAGGGGATCGAGGACACGAGACATGCGCCCGTCGCTGCCGGTGTGGGCCGGGGCGGCGGCATGAGGATAGCAGCTGCTGCGGGAGCGGATGGCGGGCCATCTCATGAGCAGAGAAGTGCCTTCTTCTGTCAGGTTCACGGAGCGAACTCCTCCCACAACACCCCGGACTGCCATAAACTTCGCCAGGACTTCTTGTTCCACTACAACGACTTCATGGCGTTCATTTGCGAGAGGGACAATATGCGGGGACCAGGTTTTCCTCAGGCCCGGGGGGAAGACTCGGAGCGATTGTCGTGCGGATCATATCGAGAGCAGCTGCACCAACGCGACCAAGGGGCAAGCTGGGGTCGGGGCCGCCCGTTCTGTCCCCCTTCTGCAGAACCCGACGCTGATGAGCAGCGAGTCTTCAACGAGGCCGTTAGCACCGCTACTCAGCCGGCGACTCAGCAGCAGCAGCAGTACACCGGCGCTACTCCAATGACCTCTGCCTCCTCGACGGCGACCCCCTCTCCACCTCCGGGCGACATTCCCCCAGCAAGTGGCGCCTTCGCCTCTTCCTCACACGTAGTGTGAATTCTCTAGCCGAGTCTGATTCTGTGTCTGGAAATGAGATTGGAGTTGATAGTGATGGGGAGGTGCCTGGTGTTCCCGTTGCTGGTATGTCTGTGTTTGATGTTCCTGTTGTTCCCGTAGTGAATCCTGCTGTAACCTCTCAAGCTCCGGTATGCCACACTAGGATGTCAACACCCAAAGGTGGTGAGCAGTTGCAGGGAGACTCGGGGACGAGTGCGGGGATGTTTGATGCGAGGGAAGGAGTTGCGTCTGAGGATGATGTGGCTGTGTTGGGTCGTGCCGAACAAATGGATGTTGACGTTTTCCACCACCGCGCTGGCCGCTTTTCCGAACCCATTTTGAGTTTGACTGCCAAGCAACAAGGGAACACCCTCCCCAGGGAGTTGGGACCCGGGACCACTGCCGCTTGGCCGCCCGCTGCCACCGCTGCGCCTTGGCCTGCCGTCGCCGCCGCCGCGGGGGGTATTATCACCGCTTCGCCGACCGCTGCTGCCGCTGCACCGTGGCGACCCGCCACCGCCGGCGCCACTTCATCGTCGCCGTCGCACACCGCTGGTGGCGCACCATGGACTGCAGCCGCCGCCGCCGCACTGCCGGACCCGCGGATGACCGCGACGAGGACCACCGCCGCTCCGCTGCCCACCGCCGTTATCACGGCCGCGCCGATGCCGTCGCCACCGACCTCCGAGGCCGATGAACCCCTTGCGCCTTCGCCAGGTGCCGCCAAGCTGCCAGGCCCGAGGACGCCCGCGGCGAGGAGTGCCGCCGCCGCCAATTCGTCGTCGCAGCAGCATTTCGCCGAAGAAGGTACATAGATCGCTCCAGCCCCCGCCCGAGCGTCGTCATCGACATCGCCTTCTTCGGGGCATGCCACCCGGCGTGTATTGAACGGCAAGCCGATGATTTGGCCTAGGATGGTAGGGGCCGGTGAGTTGAGGGGCGACGAGCTGGGGGATGGCGAGATGAAGGGCGATGGAGAACAGCATGTTCGGGAGGGGTGCATGTGGGAGACCAAGAGCAACCTGCTGGGGGTCGCCCCTCGGCATTCCGTTTGGGCTCGTAGCGCGCCTCGCATCGCGCGACGACATCGAGTCTGATCTAACAATATGGGTTTCGTGTTTAGTTTTGTTTGTTTGCCTTTCTATCTGGCAGCGCGTTCTACTATTGCACTGGTATTTTCTTCTTTGTTGCTGGTATGTACATCATGGGGGAGAATGTCATGTGTGACCATGATTCTAGAGGGCATAAAATGCATTCGATTTTTTTTTTTTTCATATGAACAGCTTCCTTTGCAGGGTGGCTGTCTGCACGTTTGTTTGTTGGCGTAATTGATATTCGCGGAGTGTTCTTGGATGAACGCTGGGAATATAAGGGGTATGTTTCGGGATGTGACAGAAGGGGGCTGTCTACATGTTTGTTGAATTTTCTATTCATTTCTTGGACAGCAACGGCGGCACCGATTTGCGTGTACGCACTATTTAGTTTGGTCCTCACAGGCTCTACTGTAGAAAGGAGTTGCCAGGAGTGATTGTTGGGGCCTCTGTGCATTCGGAATACTCGTTTCTGTCGCCCAAGAAGTTGTAATATTGTTTTGTTTGAGTTGCTGTGCCGGAATTGTTTATTTGTTTGGTTTTAGTTTTGGCTTGTTTCGGAGTTCTTTCGCATTTGGTTTTGCGATTGAAATTACACCTGAAGAATTTTTTGACGATATGAAGGCTGCGTTGAAACTGTTCAGAAAAGGCCATGGTGATGAACAGGGTTATTGGTTTGAATCCTTGCGGCCATGTCGTGAAGGCCGCTACTATGTTTGTGCTTGTTGCCCTTGTTTTTTGTTCGTTTCTTCGTGTGGCATTATTTTAGGCAGAAGGCTCTATCTACGTTGTCCCCTGTGTGTTTGGCGCGCCATTCCATGTACCATCGGCCAGGGGTAACCCCCGTACTTCTATAAAATGCCATGTCTTCGATGCTGTTGTCAATCGTCATTGGGGAGGGCATTGGTGTGTCATGACAATGAATTGCCGCAACATCACGAAGAATGGAATGTTTCGCCTGTTTTCGACGGTCGATTTGCAAAGTTCGGGATTTGATTTCGTTCACAATGTCGGTTGAGGTTTTTGGTATTGCGCTCAGCACCCAAATATCACAGGATGCGTTTGTCACGATGAGGGTCGATCCCTTGACGTCTGGTAGTCGGAGAAGGGGGGCCGGAACGAGACATGAGTGGGTATGGTATGCAGGAAGAAATGAATTGTTTTTTTGGCAACTGAACGGAGGTTTGTACTCGAGGAATAATAGGATGAGGTATGGAAGCGAGCATTTTGTGCAATCATGCATTCTAGTTTTCGGTTTCTGCTACTTGTGGATGTGAGATACCCTCGGAAAATGATTTGTCCCGGACGGTGTTGTATGTGTATGCGTTTGTGTTTGTTTTCATTTGCTTCTGATATAACCCATTGCGGTTGTTTCCACGATTTGAGTGTTGGATGATTTGATATTGGGAATTTGGAAAATTCATGAGCGACCGATAGAAATTCTTGGTGGTGTTCCTGGCCAAATTTTGCAACCGATGGGAATTCCAATCAGTGTTTCTGATTTAATGGTTTGAATGTTTTGATCTTTGGAGATTCTGGATACAACGGAGACCGATGCAAACACTGGTAGTAATAACTCGTGTTTCTGGGTTAATGGTTTTTGTTGCAAGAGCATGGGGGGAGATGCGACTACTACTGGTGAAAGTACTCCTAAACGAACTCGAGTACTAGGTAATAGCCTTGGTAGACGCGTGCATTTTTCGTCTGTTGCTGCTGTTTCTGTTTTTAATCCGAAGGATAGTTTAGCCTCCCCCATGCTGCCCCCTCACGGGGTCCCAGTTCATGGTAGATAGAAGTGTTTTGTGTTTTCAACCGCACTAAGACTGACGTCTTTTCATTGGTCAGCCGGTTAGCGCGGTCGATGCTAATAATAATGAAAACACACACACACACACACCGGGCAGGCTAAGAACACATAGGTGGCTCCATCTATCTCACAGCCTACATCTGGTAGACAGTGCCTTCGACCCTTCGACGGCGGTGGTATCTCCTTCTCTCACGGAATCACAAATCTTTGTTTGGACAACGGATGGGTACAACCTGGATTTCCTGCTACTACTACNNNCACAGCCTACATCTGGCAGACAGTGCCTTCGACCCTTCGACGGCGGTGGTATCTCCTTCTCTCACGGAATCACAAATCTTTGTTTGGACAACGGATGGGTACAACCTGGATTTCCTGCTACTATTACTACACAGTTTTGTTTGATTTCGGGTGGATGAGGTTGGGGTTATGTTCGTTTTTCTCCATCTCAGGTTCGTGCCTAGAGTTCAGCTGTAGTGTTTCGACAAAAGTTTTGTTGACTTAGAGGCAAACATTCCTAGCTATTGGGCATCGAGTTAATTTGGCTTGGCATGACGGCCTTTACGATC